GATAAAGCCAATGAATTTATTTATATCATTGAATGTTCTGTCCCTTTTGACACCAATGTGATTGTCAAGATTCAGGAAAAGCATGATAAATATGCTGACCTCGCCTTTGAAATGTCTCGCTTGCAACCCAAGTACACCGTCGCCAGGCTCCCCATTGTTCTCGGTGCCCTTGGTTTGGTACCTCCTGATCTCTTGGCGCAAATCAGGAGAGTGCCCGGGTTTTCCACCGGGAGCACAGCCCTTCTGACACTCTGGATAATGCAGAAGGCTGCAGTGTTGGGGAGCCTTCATATTCTCCGGAAAGTTCTTGGTGGGTTCGACTAGGCAGCGTTTCCTGGGAGAAGTCCCATTCGCTGTCTGGGCTGCGTGTAGAGGGGCGAGGGCCCTGAGCTGATGATGAGCCTTACCAGCCTGACTGTGCCAGGATCACCCGAACCCTCTCTGCTGCATACTATCTTTAATCTGTAAAACATAATAATAATAATCGATTCAGGTCCTCCCCTATTCCTTTGGAGTGGTTGATTGGACAAAACAAGACATCCAGAGTCTTGACCGCCTGACCAGAAGGATCATGTCTGATAACAGAGCCCACCACCCTCGTTCCTCTCTCAACCGTTTATATATGCCAATCAGTTCTGGAGGTCGGGGTTTGATTAATGTGGAGGCTCTTCATGATAGAATTTTAGTGTGTACTTTTGCACATATTTATTTATCGGATGATCCTCTGGTGATGCATATGAAGACTCATGATGAAAGCAAGGAATTCCACAGCTATTTTCAGCGTGCCAAGGTTGTTGGATATCATCTGAAATTTGAGGTTGCATTCGCTGATGGCGATGTACTGCTGGATGGTACAGTGATGGGAGTAAACCAGGTGAAGTCCTTCACCAAGTCTGCCCAGAGTCGGTCTTTTGTGGAGAATCTTTCTGAGAAGCCATTGCATCGTGTGTACATGCAGTGTTTTGAACAGAATAGCAATCCCACCGACTCCTTTGCCAGGATGAAGTCGGCTGGTCTTAAATGTGAAACTGGGGGCTTCGTTTTTGCTGCTTAGGACTAGGCACTTCCCACTTGTAATCGCCTAAATGTGATTCTTAAAGAAAATATCAATATGAAATGTCGACTATGTAATGAATTTACAGAGACTGTCCAACACCTTGTCAGTGGATGCCCTTCCTTGGCACAAACATCATATTTTAAACGACATGATGGCATGGCTCGTTGCTTTTACTGCCGTCTCTGCCATGTCTATGGCCTTGACTTCGAGGTCCATCCATGGTATGACCCTGAACATGTCCAGGGCGTCATGGAAAATGATGCTTTCAAACTTCTCTGGAATAGGCCCATTTTCTGTCCCTTTTGACACCAATGTGATTGATAAGATTCAGGAAAAGCATGATAAATATGCTGACCTCGCCTTTGAAATGTCTCGCTTGCATCTCAAGTACAGTGTCGTCAGGCTCCCCATTGTTCTCGGTGCCCTTGGTTTGGTACCTCCTGATCTCTTGGAGCAGATCAGGAGAGTGCCCGGGTTCTCCTCCGGGAGCACAGCCCTTCTGACACTTACATGGAAGTTTGCAGTTCTGGCTACCGCTAGTGCTTGGGTCTTTGAGGACAAGGTCTTGTCGAACATTACTCCGAGGTTACGTACAGTGTCTGATGGTGGTACAGTGGAGTTTCCTATGGTGATTAACGTCTGGGTAACCCTAGTTAATTGTTGTCTGGTGCCGATGACCATGTATTCCGTTTTCTCATCGTTGAGTTTGAGGAAATTACATGAAATCCACCAACGGATGTCTTTGAGACAACTTTCCAGTCTGTCTCGCTTCAGACAGATATCGTCCGGCTTTGCATTGATATACAGTTGATTATCATCAGCATATCCGTGAAATTTCAGACCGTGCCGACGTATGATATTGCCCAGTGGAATGATGTAAAGTGAGAACAACACAGGGCCCAGAACAGAACCCTGTGGAACCCCATAAGACATGGCTTGAGGATCTGATTTCTTGCAGTTGATGCTGACTTGCATTGTCCTTCCAGTGAGATATGAATCGATCCACTGAAGAGGAACACCCTTTATTCCAAGTGTATGCTCAAGACGGGTGAGAAGAATACCATGGTCAACGGTATCAAATGCCGCGGAGAGGTCCAGAAGGATAAGTAGGACAACTTCTTGCTTGTCCAAGATTAGCATGTTTGTTGATTTTTGGATTATCAAGTTGTTCTTCTATGTTTCTCTCAGCCCATATATTAAGCAAAGCTTTAGTCTGATCATCTATCAAAGCCTGACCATGACTACGACGACCATTGTTGCCTTTTTTCGGCATGTTGACTGTCAAGTAAGAACTGAATGATTGCCAAATTTCACAAACTGACAGAAACCAGACATTATGTCTAGACAGTTGTCTTCAAATACCAATGATGCAATATCCTGTTACTATCAATAACATCATAGATGATAAGCAATACAATTTGCTCACGTATCTAATTTTGCTATGCGTTCATATGACAAAATACTTTACGATTTTTCACATTTCCGCACGTTTTGATGGTGCCTGTGTTTAAAATTCTTCTTCTCCAGAACGGCATATAGTACAATCATGTTCGATATATCGTATTAAAGCCCACACTTCGGACTACTTAAAACGCTTCAAGGCATGTCGATATCTTGAATAGTGTTGGACTTATTGCCCTTAGAAAGTTGGTCAATTTTGTCAAAACGCATTTTTATAGGGTTCACAGCTCTGCGAAAACACAATGGATTTCATTTTCATGTAGCAAACTGTAGTAATGGAATGGGGAAGATTTGTGCTTCACATTTTTGTTATGTAAAAGTCAATAATTACGTCACAATTACGACACGAACATTAGGATGTTTCGCATTTTGCTCTTTGGGCATTGGAAAACCAGGAAGTGGGGATTGTTGCTTGATTTTACTGACGCTTCTTTCAGCTATTTCGCTCATCAGCTAGCTGATCAGATAGCTGATGAACGAAATAGCTGAAAGAAGCATCAGAAAATCTAGCAACAATGCCCACTTCCTGGTTTTCCAATGCCCAAAGAGCAATGCGCTTGACTTTTTGCCCACACCAAAGTCTCCAACATTTACCAGTTATCTCTCTTTTTGTATATGCCTGTATATATTGCTCAATTCCTTTGCTTTGTTTGACTGTGCATTCCTGTTTGTTAAAATCTAGCAAAAAACTCCACTTCCTGGTTTTCCAGTGCCCAAGTTGTTGAGTTCGGTTTTACGTCACATCGGCGTTATTCCAGCCATATAGTGACGAGATCAAGTTGGAGTTTTACACATTTTAAATACAAAGTCCCAAAAAGAGTTGTTTTAACATATATATTCATTACATTACTATTTACAAGTGAAAAATGACACAGCACCAAACTCAAAAACAAGCAATCTGTGACTCACATTACATAGTTATATTTTATGGTACAGGTCAACTTCCCTCAGGTACCTAACAAGCAGATCTTTCAGATTTAGCGCTTCATAATGTGAATCTCTTGCAGTCGAAAAATCCACGCAGTCAAGCTGTATATGCTTGATGGTGAACACTTTGAACATCGCAAGAGACACACATAGGAGGTCCATACCCATCCCTTTTCAGCAGATAGTCATGAGTAAACCGACTGTGGCCAATACGACATCGTCGTAAAATTACCTCACCACGTCTTGACTGACAACCCAAGTATGTATAACCAATTGCTGGCTTTCCAATGCCCAAAGAGCAATGCGCTTTTGGTAAAAACTGGGACTCCAGCAGTTTGTATACCGGTCTGACTGTGCCAGGATCGCGGGAACCCTTTCTGCTACATCATCATGATTGCAGGAATCCAGCACATAAACGCACAATATCTTATACATTTAAAACAGAATAAAACTTCACACACAAAACTGCGGCCATGGTAGTCGTACTTTCAAATCATCTTAACTGCACCACAAATTTTTTGAAAGGGTGTTTCACATATGCACTATATACACATAAATCTATGCGTCAGATAGCCAGGATCATGACAATTCCAGAACACTAATCGTTTTGACCGTAGACCCAAGGACAGCGGAGAAACTACTTAAAAGCTACATGAGCCCGCGACCCCGGCTGCATTTCACCGATCTGCTCTCGTGTCAAAAACGTGTTCTGCCTGCGTTTTGGACGGTTTCTAGCCTAGTCTGAAGACCGTCAGTATTGCCCAGGAGGCAATCCTAGATATTATTATTATTATTATTATTATTATTATACTAACATCTTTCTATTACTTCCTGTTGTGGGTCAGGTATAACATACTTGTTTTTTATTCCCAAGCACTGATATTGACTCTATTCAAGTGAAGAATAACGACATTTGTATCCCGGGGAAAAGAGGAAACTATTATAGAGTCTTCAAATAACCGGAAGTGACGTCACACGATCGGAAGTGACGTCATTTGACCGGAAGTGGCGTCATTATCTCTGGGGTTTCATGAACTTGACGATTAAGAGATGGAAATATACGTCCAGTTCTGTCCTCATTCCTCACAAGAATCATTCATATCTCACCCTCACCAAATTGTCACTTTTAAGTGAAGTAATATAAACGGATGTGATTATGGACCTTATATATGCATTCATTGTTAGGAATCAGAGGTAGAATCAGTCGTCATGTGATTATTTGGTTTACCAAACATTCTCTCTAGGGTTGTGGCTTCCGGTTATATCCTCCTAGCTTATGTGGGATTCTGGCTAACACAACCCAGAGGGAATGATTACGCTAATAATTACGAACAAACAAGTTGTTGTATGTAATTATTAGTAAACTTACCTCTGGGTTGTGCACGTAACAGCCTCCCGAGATATTCTATCTAACCTCCCCACTATATAATTCCAGAAGCCAGATATTCGGAAAATATGAATGGTTTCCTTCCGGAGGATTATGGGTAGAGCAGATCAAGGGAGGTAACTGAGCACTTCCGGATCACTAAAAGGTAATCAACTGAAGAAGAGACAATGGCTAACACAACCCAGAGGTAAGTTTACTAATAATTACATACAACAACTTGTTTGTCCGTCATTTGCATTACGCGCGTGCACAAATAGACTTCTTAACAAAAAGGTCCCAAATACCACGCGGTACCATCATGTGAAGTGTAATCAAAGCAGGTTTCTGAAGATCTGTATATTATTTTGAACAAACATGCAAATCATATACAGTGATGTATCCATGAACAACCTGATATAGAGATCATAATGTTTTTGTTGTATGCAGTGAAGGTAGCATTGATTTGTCTTGATTGATGTGTCTTTGTTAAGGATATCCGGCTCCCTGGTGAAGGTTCATCCGATTAAATTGCCAACCATTCATATCTGTGTAGTCGTCATTCCGTTGTCAATCAATTGTCGTTGTGAAGGCACAAGCCAACTACTTATGTCCTTGCAAAGACCTGTGCTATTCTCAACTAGTTATGTCATTGCGAAGACCCATGCCCACTGACATGGCATCTGGTTGACAGGGATGGGAGGGATTGTGATGCTGATTCCTTTGGGTGAAGCATTCTGCCAGGTGAAGGAGCCTTCAGTGTAGCCAAGGAGGTTGACTTTCATACCAGATTTTGGCAACGCTGATCCAAGGATGAGTTGACCTGGCTGTGGCCAGTTGAGGACAATGGCGTACACCGTCCCAGCTCTCTGTGTGTACCTGAAGAGAGATCTCACAGTTCAGTTTAAAAGAGCACTGAATCTGTTGGGTGTCATAACCTGTGACCAAAGTTGTGACCTTTAGAGGGTAACCCCTTTGAGTGGCATATTTCGAAATTGGTGAATCAGATAAGGAGAAACTTTATAGATGAACAACTTCTTTATTAAGGTGAATCTGTATTGAAACGTCGCATCGCCTGAATAAAGAAGTTGTGCATCTATAAAGCTTTTCCTTATCACATTTAGAAGCTGACAAAGCAGGCGGTAAATGAGAATGAAGCATAATTTATATAACAACAAAGTTTAAAACGTTGATTAGAAATTATCTGTTCCAGTTTCACCCAGCTTGTAATTTGTTCCACCATATTAGCCATTAGAAGCACTCAATAACTACCAAAGAGAGGGACAGGGGGTTGTGTCCCATGAACCAGGCATCTGCAAGTTTTGTGAAATGTATAAAGTTTACTTGTGAAATACCTAGTAAACCCTGTATGATCACAGATGTGTAAATGTCTGTGTGACACTTTGCCAGCCAAGGTATGTAATGTCTAAAGTATCTGCTAAACTGGTGTGCCTGTCATTCTTTGCCGGCCAAAGCATGACATGCAGAGAATACCGTCCATAGTCCTTTCATGCTTGTGTTATTATTCTGACCAGCCAATGCCATGTCTATGCTGGTGTGACTCTGTTAGTCTGGGCCAGTCAAGGTGTGGAGTATATAAGGTACCTACTAAACTTCTGGTGTGACTGTGTCATGGTCTGGGCCAGTCCCAGTCAAGGTGTGGAGTATATAAGGTACCTACTAAACTTCTGGTGTGACTGTGTCAATCTGGGCCAGTCAAGGTGTGGAGTATATAAGGTACCTACTAAACTTCTGGTGTGACTGTGTCAATCTGGGCCACCCAAGGTGTAGAGTATATAAGGTACCTACTAAACTCCTGGTGTGACTGTGTCACTCTGTGCCAGTCAAGGTGTGGAGTATATAAAGTACCTACTAAACTTCTTGTGTGACTGTGTCAATCTGGGCCACCCAAGGTGTGGAGTATATAAGGTACCTACTAAACTCCTGGTGTGACTGTGTCAATCTGTGCCAGTCAAGGTGTGGAGTATATAAAGTACCTACCAAACTCCTGGTGTGACTGTGTCACTCTGTGCAAGGTGTGGAATATATAAAATACCAGTCAAGGTGTGGAATATATATAATACCTACCAAACTCCTGGTGTGACTGTGTCATTGCTGTGCCAGTCAAGGTGTGGAATATATAAAGCACCTACCAAACTCCTGGTGTGACTGTGTCAATCTGGGCCACCCAAGGTGTGGAATATATAAAGTACCTACCAAACTCCTGGTGTGACTGTGTCATTCTGTGCCAGTCAAGGTGTGGAATATATAAAGTACCTACCAAACTCCTGGTGTGACTGTGTCATTCTGTGCCAGTCAAGGTGTGGAGTATATAAGGTACCTACTAAACTCCTGGTGTGACTGTGTCATTCTGTGCCAGTCAAGGTGTGGAATATATAAAGCACCTACCAAACTCCTGGTGTGACTGTGTCATTCTGTGCCAGTCAAGGTGTGGAGTATATATATAAGTACCTACCAAACTCCTGGTGTGACTGTGTCATTCTGTGCCAGTCAAGGTGTGGAATATATAAAGCACCTACCAAACTCCTGGTGTGACTGTGTCATGCTGTGCCAGTCAAGGTGTGGAGTATATAAGGTACCTACTAAACTTCTTGTGTGACTGTGTCAATCTGGGCCACCCAAGGTGTGGAATATATAAAGTACCTACCAAACTCCTGGTGTGACTGTGTCATTCTGTGCCAGTCAAGGTGTGGAATATATAAAGTACCTACCAAACGTCTGGTGACTGTGTCATTCTGTGCCAGCCAAGGTGTGGAATATATAAAGTACCCACCAAACTCCTGGTGTGACTGTGTCATTCTAGGACAACCAAGGTGTAGAATATAGAAAGTACCTACCAAACTCCTGGAGTGACTGTGTCATTCTGAGCCACCCAAGGTTTGGAGGCGTAGATGGCCTCTCCATTCACCTTCAACCATTCTCCCATCTGTCGCAGTCTCTCTTCATAGATTGGACTGATCATGCCATATTTGGTTGGCCCCACATTAATCAGCATGTTCCCTCCACAGCTGTAAATGAACGATACATGTTAGGTCACAGGTAGGACAGCTTTCTAATTCATTGTGCAGAGTCACATCCCTCACATAGGTACATAGGTTCATGTTTGTCAGATCTAAGGCATACTATTAGCCTAAGACCTTTGGATATTCCTCCCCCAAATGGATTATTTGAATTGGGACAGTAAGTTCAACCAGAAATCTTCAGAAAAGATTTGATTTACAGCGTACAAGATCGTAGTTCCACAACAATCATCAACAAACAATACATGGAAAGTAACAAAATGTGTTTAGGTATGTTGCCGAACAAGGTATTTATTCCAGTAAATATTGTATCCTATAACACAACACAATGAGTCATGCTTGCAGTAGCTTTGGGCTACTCTGGAGTTCCTTCTATATGATGCTGCTCGAAATGCACGTTTGTTTCAGTGTACCTCTGTTACATCAACTCTTCAATACAGCGGTGACATGGACTATGGGGTCAAGGAGCCTCGAGGCACTATATTGTTTAGGGTGTGTATCGCGGTTGTTTTTGTACCACTGTACCATCAGCAGTAAACGATGCTCATGTTGTCAACCACTTGTTTCATGTTGGCCATTACACATTTTAGTATTAGCTTTTCAATGTACATACATACTGATTAGAATTGGTCTTCAGCAACCCATGCTTGTCGTAAGAGCCGATAATCGTGTTCACTGACTTGGTTGACACATGTCTTCGTATCTCAGTTGCGTAGATCAATGCACATGCTGTTGGTCACTGGACAGTCTGATCCAGACTCGATTATTTACAGACAGCCGCCATATAGTTGAATTATTGGTGAGTGCGGCGTTAAACAACAAAACAAAGAAATCAATTTACTTACCTGACAGTTTCAGCCAGCACTGCTATAATCTCATCCATGGTCAGAAAATCTTCCAGTACAGCCTCTCGACGAAATCCCCAAGATTTCTTGTCAATTGTCATTGCATCCTCCCACTTCCTTGGCTGAAGTACTCCTTTAAGATGTTAAAATATATAACTGGATTGTCACATCCCATTGCTCTTACATGTGCAACAACGTCATTTGATAATCGCTTATCACACAATATTCTGAACCTAAGCTGATTCAAGAGCTTTCAGAATATAGTGAATTCTTTGATCAATTGGAATTCAGTGATCCCCATTGACATACACTGATACATTGAAACTGAATTGCAAATATACAACATGAAGGCTAGAGAATGAAACCTCACTGATGATACCTGAGATCGTGAAAAGAGTCCTGCCCTTTCGTTGGCATCCTCTACTCACAGTGTGGTTAAACAAGATATCAATTTCTTTTCTTTGACTTTTCTATTTCATATGATCAATGTTAGCTCCATGTGAGGTAATTATTGGAAGAGACTGGCCTTAATTATATCGTTTCTTACAGTGAGAATGATGGAGTGTAGCCTGGAGGTGTTCACTTATCACAATGAAGGCATATGTTCGAGTACCCGAATGTGTATAGTGTGTTTAACCATTTCCGATGTTATTGCTTAATGTAGGTTACACATTCTCACTAACTCATTCATTGACGTTTTATTTATTTTAGTACCTGGATTGTATCTGTCATGACATGTCAAGAACCCCCCATGGTGACAATGGTCCCCTTTTCCCCATCTGTCATTGGTGACAACCTTCTCCTTCACTGGGCTGCAACAAGACCATATTTAAGAGATGAAATGTATAACATGGTTAGAGCTTGATGTCGTGTTGGGGAGTCTTGTCTCGAGTCCAGTTCGTTTGCCATGAGTTATACCTAGACTATATGAATACCATTGCCTATACAAGAATCCCAAAATGAAAAACGCTATGAATGATATATTTGCCAAAGTTGAACAGAACAGAGTGACGTTCTATTATCAAGCACTTCTTCTTAAATTCACTTGCCTATGTTCTTGGAAGATACCAAAAGAGGTCTCTATTGTTAAATCCACGTTGACACTGAGCAGCTGGATAAATGCATGTACAACAAGCAGTTGTTACAAGTGGTGGTCTATTGTAGCTTTTTATGTATCAAATGCTGGTCTGTTGTGGTAACCATAAACAGACTGAATGAACCTAATTTCTTAAATGATAATAATGTCACACCAAATGACTGCACCAAATTGTTAACTATCAACCCTGTAATTTCCGCTTTCAGTGTATTTACACAAAGACATAGACTAACGCTGAGTCTCTGAATACATGTATATGTAATTTTGATTGTAACAAACAAACCCATTTAAATTGAAAAGAAGCCCCATGGAGACCACAGGTTCAGAACCTGAACCTGATAAAATCTAGACTTTCTTTATTTGAGGCTTTAACAATGCAGGGAGTGCTTGTCTGTAGGGAAAATGGTATGGGTCAAGGACTGTGTGACAGACAAACAAAGACCCAAAGTAAAAGGGTACAATGTATTACCACCGCAACCGTATACCTGTCATTGTAGAGCCAGGCCAGAAACTCCTTGGACCCCCAGTATGTGTCTGGTGCCAGCGGGTCTCCATCGGACCACACAATGTCCGGCTTGTAGGTGTTCACAAGCTCGTACAGCTCAGGCATGGTCTTTTCCTGAAATTGATTTGATTTTCATGATACATTGTGACATTGTAAACTCTGCAAGATCAATACGATTAATGTTCTGTTGGTTCCACAAGACACCTTTACAAAATCAATTAATGAAGCAGGTCAAGTGACCACACAAGCTGAACATTTTGTTCTGTGTCTTAGATGTATGAAGCTCCATATAACCAAGTAAGTTTCAGCTTTTGCAGGAGGATGTCTAGCATTGACTTCAGCCTTTCAGAAAGGCAACTTTTACCTTTCCTGCAGGACAAAGGATGGGTTTACGCCACTGGCTATGGGATGGTGGGCTGCATCACAAATGGATTTAGTACCATGTACCCAAACCATCATTGTCAAACTGAACTAACCTAACAAACTTACACTTTCATTCATTGCTGACCTTAGCAAACCTGTTGGTGGTGTAGTTATTGGCCTTGTCCTGTAGAAAGAGTGGGTGGAACCACTCATACAGGGAATGGTACAGGCCGAGGCGCAGATCTGTCTTGGATCTCAGTGATTGAGACATCTCACCTTTTGTTAACACAAGGACTCATATTATACACTTGGTTTTCAGATAATCTATTATCAAATTTAACAAAAATTCGTTGAAATAAAAATATTTGTGTAAAGTTTACTTGTTTCGTGTTGAAATCAGAAAAAATAAATGACCAAAACGCCTGGCTTGGAGTACACTGCTTCCTTGCCAAATTGATTGACTTCTCTTTGAATTCTTAAAGAAACACAACACATCGACATAACATTAAAATGTTATTTCAAATTTGCGAAACTTTGTCGGTAAAACTGCAGAATATGACATAAAAAACAAGTGAGTTAAACTATTACTAACTAAGATTAATAGATTTGTACAATGAAATATTCTTTAGGTTAAAATCAGCTTTAACGTATAGTTACCGACAAGGTCTCTCTTGGGGCCAACCATCATTGAGTTCCAGTTGAAACTGACGTTAGTTGGCCAGTTACAAAACCCTCCATGATGTTTAGTTATAAACACAATATATCTGGAAACAACATCAACTGGGGTGACATATATAATTCATGATTGAGTATTAATTAGATGTTAGGCTAAAATATGAAACACATTGCCCCATTAACCATTACTGTTTCATTAGGGATTGTTTGACAACCTGATATGAATTACATGTATTAACATTGTACTCAATGTAAAACGCTTGTTGAATCGCCTCACGATGTGCATGTACTGGGTGTGTTTTGATCACACATATTCTGCATATTTCTGAATAAATATTTTTAAAGCAAACTCATTTATCCTTTTCTGTGTGAGGATTTAATCATCCTAGCCTTTTGATCCAAAGGTTTTGTAGAAACATATCCATGTCGATGTGTGTTACGCATAAACACCCTCGCTCAGTCACTCACCAAATAACGTACACTCTCATCACTCTCATGCCACTCACTAACTCGGGCTGCCATGAAGCTATTAAACGATTAATTACTGCAGCAATTACAACATAGGCTCACTCAGTGAATTAATGTCAACATACTTAGCTCCAGAAGCCGCAAACAGTTCAGCCCAAGCCTCAGCATCATAAAACTCTGCCGTGAAGTCACTTGCAAAGTCAGCATAGGTGAAGTCAGGTCTATAGTTTTCCTTCATGTACTGCACATACATTGGATTTTTGTCCTCTTTCCATCGTTCCCAAAACCACTCGCTTCCAAAACTTGGTACTGAAAACAGTGCCCATGACACAAAGATTCCAATTTTGGCTTCATCATACCATGTTGGTAATGGCCTGGAATCTAGAGACTCCCATGTTGGGTCATAGCGGATCTCAGTCTGCTTCTTGTTTGCTGAACGTCCATCTGCTGTTGTTGATACAGCTAGGAATATGAGGACTAGCGTCTTTGTGTACATTGTCGAGGTCGGTCAGGTGTGTTTGTGATCATGTTTCAAAGTCTCTTTATGTACAAAATGAAGTCAAGGACAGTTGATTATAACAGATATCTATATCTTCAAGGTGAAAGGCTACATGATAATGAATGCACTTGCCACGTTTCTTATATGTCCGTATTGTCATAGCTGAAATGTACAGACATGTATTGACACTGCATTTGTTCAAGAGTGTCCAATCTTTCACCGTGGTGCCATTTAGCATTCACTGCCATTATTACGCTGAAATCGTCTACATGCTCAGTTTGTAACCGTACACAACATGCTTGTTCCTTTTATTCTTTTCAACAACAACACAAACGTATATTGACCATGATTAGATCTTTGGTTTTGCATTTGGACCGTGTCCTAAGTCCGTTTCCCCTCAAATGCATTCTTGTCTCTGAAACCATTTTGTGGCTCTGAAGGAGTAGGACGGATTGAAACGTGGCATGGATGTTTCTTTCGATGATGACATCATCATATTTTCATTCTATAAATTATGTGATATTTTGGAGAAATAATGATTTATACTTGAGTGGAATTTTTGTGTGAATTGTGACAAAATAGTTTCAAGTCAAATGCCATATTATAATCAAAGGTAGAAAACTTTCATTCATTCAGGCTGTCAATATTTATTCAAAGTAATCATTTTTTGTTATGCTTATGTTTAAGTTGTCTGTAAATTATATGTTATACGATCGAATGATTATGAGCGTGACAAAGAAATATAAGTAAAAAATCGATGACAGTTCTCATTCATCGATTTTAGTTTTAGTCGATCTCAGGCTAGGCAATATGAATACCGATGACGGTAGTGCGCTAGTAGACTTGGCCTATTTGTATTGTAGGCAATGGTATCACACATGGTGCCTCAGTGGAGTTTGAAATGATCCCACATCCATCATATCAAGTGTGGAGAGTACCGACAAGGCCTTTAATGTTAATACCCTGATAAGCCGACTTTTGAAATCTTCGAACATAATCACACATCAGGAATGCGAACTTAAATGTTAACAATATGTTTAAACATATCAACCCCGTCTGACTTGCTAGAAATCCTACCATGACAGGCCATACATGTTAAGAGACAATCCGAAAGAAGGCAGTTACAAATATCGTATTGTACAAACAATCAATTAAAGTCTTAGACATTTTACGACAAATACAATCTCCACAGATGAGTTAAGATATCAGCAGCTGCCTTGCTGACAATAACACCTTTTCTCTGAACAAGTTTTACTGCTGAAGCTATGGCAATTTTAATAGCTTTGCAATATATGAAAAGGACAATTTCACCATTTATTCAAATCGTTTCAGTAGCTGTAAGCATAATTATTCGTTCCAGATGAAATTTTAAGTCACCATCGACACACATATATTGCTAGCAAGGTTATCGTATTTTGCTGGTTCCTAGCCACTCAAGCTTATCAATACTAACTTCCCTTTTACAATACGTCACAAATCAGAAGCAGCAAATTGTAATTGTCAAGTGTCAAATAAGCTTCATTCCATTTAACCAAACATAGGACAGAATCAAATCACTGGACTACCTCGTCCAGATGAGGTTGTAATACGGCAATGTCGTACAGGACATTAATTACAATACGCATTGGATGGTTTCCTATTTATTGGATGAAGAACTGCATCCTCTGCCGCCATGGTCCAACTTTACCTGAACTTTTTAATTCGATTCCTTAGAGAAAAAAACAAACTTAAAAGTAAATATCTAACTTATCTGTCTGGTGGGGAAAATGTGTATTTTTACATCAGATTTGCAGTTTCAAATCACTATATCCAGTTAATTTGAAACTGGTTATTGTCACTATCTACTATAGCCAATGTAGATTTAGGAAATGACATGGACATCCTAGACATCATACCTCAGGGAACAATGACAGTCACGGTGCAATGTGAGTGGTTTTACGACTGCAATCATTTCCATGATCTTAATGCGTCACTGCTAAAAGCAAAGTCGATTTAACGGCGACTTTCCAAAGTCTACGTTGTATGCGTGATGGTCCTCTTATAGTGGGTCTGTTACACATTGTTTGGCGGGGACAAGGTACGCTGTGTTAGTCGAGACAAGGAAGTGAAAACAAAGTCTGTCACGGGTACATGGTCTACACGAAAACACTCTGCATAGATTGAAAATCATTATTCATAGACACATTTTGTATAATATTTCGAAAAAATAGCAAACATATGTTTGTATGTATGTATGTATGTATGTATGTATGTATGTATGTATGTATGTATGTATGTATGTATGTATGTATGTATGTATGTATGTATGTATGTATGTATGTATGTATGTATGTATGTATGTATGTATGTATGTATGTATGTATGTATGTATGTATGTATGTATGTATGTATGTATGTATGTATGTATGTATGTATGTATGTATGTATATGAGTGTGTGTGTGTGTACGTACGTACGCAGGCATGTCTGGCTGTCTGTGTGTGTGCGCGTGCGTGCGTACGAATGGATAATGCATTGCATTTGTTCGTTACAATTTGTTGTGAACATTATTTTAATATTGATACGAAAGCAGTAAACCTATTTCGTGGTTCGTGAGACACCACAGCTAGAGTTAGAGACGACTGTACAATTCTGACTCCATCATGAACATGTGTTTATGAATCACTATCAGTCCGTGATTATCCCTTGTAAGACCTCCAAATGCCTGCCATAAAAAGTGTTAAAGCTTAACTGACGTCTTTAATATTGTAACTTTAATCAAGCACAGTGGCGTAGCTACCATTATGAAAAAATCCCGGGCTTACACATGATTGTTGCTGAAAAGGTTGAGCAAGCCCTCAATACTATCTAAAGATAAAGCTTTGCAACGTATCGGGCTTGCACGAACAAATTGGCTTGCTAAGCGCCTGAGGCAGCTTCTGATCGAGTGTCTCTGATACTCTTTGAACTTTTCGTAGAAAAAGCATGGCCAAATGTATATTAAGGGTTGTGAAGTGTAACTTCCAAAGGCTGGAGTTGTTGGAAATTGCTCTCTTTTTAAAATAGTCATCATGCTTATTTTGATGTGTGGTCGTTTCTAGTGCTTTTCTAATGGGGATTTTGAATTATCTCATTCAGGAGTATAGACTGTTGCAGCAAAGCATCCGTGTATCTGTGTATTGCTACAACATATGTATGTATCCCCAAAACACAAGGGAGACTTGTTTAACAGAATGAGTATTTATAACAGGGACTTAAATTAGCGCCATGAGGATGCACCTGTGCGTGGATAAATGTCCATTATTATTAATATTATTAAATTCACGAGCATTTGTAAAGCTTATGAATGCTTCTTCTCCCAATTATTTGGAACGTTTTCATTTTATATGATAAATTTAAAACATACAGCATATGCTTTGTTCGTCAAAACAGAACACTACTTGTGAGCAAGCATCGTATCACGTTAATATTTTTCTCAGCATGTTGTGCAGTGAATCCGGTAACAAATTGTTCAACTTCAATGCTCGAACAAGGAAGTGTTTGTGGAGTATCGGCAGCCATGTAGATCCTCCAACTCTCTATTGACCTTGTCTGAGATACAGAACCTCATGCGTTGTGAGAACGTAAATGTTTTAACTGATATACGAGGGTTGGTCAAAGTGTAGTCGGCCTCACCTAGAAAATGTTACAAATGCAATTGTTTTTATGTTATATTTTTTTACAAATTAACTGTCATATTGCTTTTTGCTAAGTTCCAGCCTCACGATCCCAATTTTGTCTGACTTAACATCTTGGTATAAACACCCTCTCTCTCTCTCTCTCCCCACCAAAACAAAACAAAAAAACAACCAGAAGAACCCCCCAAACAACAACAACAACAATCAACCGCAAATTCTGCAATAAATGCATCACAAACTTCAGGAAACAAAGAGGAAGAAACATTTTGTGTGTTTGCGATAGGCAGACGTCCGCATAAAAAAGCAATTTGAAACTACAATCGCTTGTTAAAGTCACACACACACACACACACACACACACACACACACACACACACACACACACACACACACACACACACACACACACACACACACACACACACACACACACACACACACACACACACACACACACACACACACACACACACACATGATGTTTACTGACAGCTTGGTTTGGGGACACTACCCAACCCCTTTCAGATGACGTGTTCATAAGGACATAACTTATTCTAATGTTTTCACTTATTCATACATGATGCTAAGGGTTCAAACTAAACACTAAATGGTCACACAAGTGTCAGCTTCGATATCTGGACACAATGGTTTTGAAAGATTAAAATGGGGTTGTCCTTAAAAAAATATCCTCCGTCTAAGTATAAATCAAGCAATCCAAATGTTTGACTGTTGATGCAGACGGGAGGTCATCCAATACTATACTGAACTTATTTTATATGATATTAACTGAGGGCATACTATTATCCAAGAGGTACCAAATGACAGATCGTTTTTCATTTTCTGCAATTTTTAAAGAAATATTATGCCTCAATGTGTTGTGAGGACTCATATCTCGTTAACCACATTACCCACATAGGTAAAATTTTGGATATGGTTTTGCTTATGATTCCTTCATAATAACATGGAAGCTTTTCAAACATTGGATATCGAGAATATAGTTAGGCCGACTACTTTTTGACCAACACACATATTCACTACCGTTGGGCCCCTACATGTATCTCCTGAATTTTCATGGCGCCAACATCACAAAACATCATAGGCTGCATTGATAATGAAAGTGTAACAAAATCTCCTGAATATGTTGTTTTGGAATGAGAAGCACCCGGGGGCGGGAGAACAATTCTCAAGCCAAAAATCCCATCATCATACACTCTTCAAAAATTAGAAACGCATAAGCCACTTTAGAAGAATTTATTATGTTAGTATAAGATAGAATATTTCATGACATTTCAGTGGTCCATCATAAACAAAGCCTTTATTGTTGTGTTTCTGTTTCTGAGTCCACAAGATGGCGTCAAATCGGTACTTTGCATGACCACGGTTGGCAGCAAT